CAGTGACAGGGATGGGGTTGGTGGGGGCAGCTGGGGGTGCAGGAGATGCAGCTCCAGGGTCTTCAGGGGGCCCTCCGGCAGCTCCAGCAGGAGACTGAGCAGAAGTGCAGAAGAGAGCTGCAGGAGCTGCATGGGCAACTGGCAGGTAAGGCCGTGGCCAGGGGGCTCATGGGAAGGCTGGCCACAGGGTCTTGGACTCTCCCTCACAACAGCCTTCCCCGGTCAGGACTTCGGGCACGCACGGCCAGCCTGCGTCAGGGTTGTGGAGACCTCCGAGGACTGGTCAGCACCTTAACCCAGAGCTGCCAGGGTTCCCTGAGCGAGGCCCAGGGCCAGGTCAGGACCACCCCCTCTCTTCAGTAGCACTGCTCTGAGGCAGCCCAGTCTCTGTTCTTGCCTTGGGGGAACCCCTGTTCTTCCTCCTTTCCCAGCCCCAGGGAGTTGTTTATTCTCATGAAGATTGTAGGGTCTGGAACCAAAACAGGTTGTGTGACCCCTGGGTATGATCTCAACTGCCAGGTTTCATTTCTGTCCTATGCAAGGAGGGGTGATAAGCCTTGCCCAGAAGTCCAGAGGAGATAGATAATGTCTTTAGCTGTAGTCCTCCTCAAATTCCAGGGCTCCAACCTAGGTGTACTGAATGACATCTCCAGGGACCCGAATCCACTGAAAGTTGTGGTTTACCACAGTCGGGTGGCTGCGTGGTGGCTCCGTACTGCCCTCAGCACCCCACCCCACCCCCAGGTCCTCTGCTCACTCCACCACTGCCTTCCTCACATCTCTGTTCCCCCAGGTATCCTGGGCCCTAGGCGCACTGTCTGCGGGAAGGGCTGGGACTCAGCTCCCTGAGGAGCAGCAGGGGCCCCCAGCTGGATGCCCAGGGCGGCTGCTGGAGCTCAAGGGTATGATATGCTTAGGGGGCAGTGGGTTGGGGTGGAGAGGCTGCAGGAACTGGAACCTCTCCATGCTCAGGGCCTGGGGGAGCCCACTAACCTGATTTTCACCCCAGGAAATATCCGTGTGTTGTGTCGGCTAAAGCCAGGGACATACTCCAGCCTGCTGAGCTCAGAGCCTGGCCCCGGGGGCACCGTTACCACCTGCTATAGAGGGCACCAGCGTCACTTCCGCTTGGACTGGGTTTTCCCTCCAAACGCCAGCCAGGAGGAGGTGATGCTCTGCCCTAGTGTCTGTGACCCTCCCTCAGGGTCTCCTGGAGTCCAGGAGAGGCTCTGGTTCCCCTTCCCTGTCTGCTGCCCTCCAGGAGGGAGAGTGGCTGGACTCCAGCAGGGAAGAGAAGGGAGCCAGAGGGCCTGGGAGGCGGGACTCGCAGCCTAGCTGGGTAGCTCCTTTCCTTCCAGGGTTCTCCCTCTGCATCCTCCCACCAAACTGCAGGCCCAGGGGAAACAGGTCTGTGGTTTAGACGGGAAGGTTGACATTTTCAAAATAATTTTTTACCAGGAAACTAAGGAGAATGAGCCTGTCTGAGGGGAGGGCCACTGCTCATGCAGCGCTGGCTGCAGAGCACCACTGGGGGTGCTGTATGGTGGGGACAGTGCTGGGGCCTTCGTCCCCTAGGCTGCACTGGCTGTGGGCTCCCTCGGTCCAGCATCCAGAGAGGGCTAACTGGGAGGGTAGCACGCCTCCTTGCTTTGTGGCCAGGAGGGTTGTGGGGGGTGGGTAGAGGGGAGCAGGCAAGCTTCCAGTCTCAGCGCTCTCCCTCTGCCCTGTGCAGACCCTGCTCCCTTCCCTCTCCCCTTTCCTCCACCTCAGACCCCCACCTCCCAGCTTCCTGGCAGCAAGAACTTCCAAACCTCAGGAAATGGAAGCTCAGATGTGGGAGGGGGTTAGAAAGGGGTAGAGTTGCCTCAGACAATGTCATGTGCCTGGTAGTGACTAGGGCTCCCTCCCCAACTTCTTGGGGCACCACAGCTCTTTCCCACCTATTCCTCTGTAGTCCCTGGCTGCAGCCCTGCACAGGGCTCCTGTGCTGCCTTCTGGGCAGCCCTCCGAGTCGGTCCTTTACAGCAGAACATTGAGCAGAAGAGCCAGGGATATCTGTCGCCTACTGCCCTGTGTCCCCTTCTCTGCAGCAGCATCACCACAGGCCCCTCACCAGTGCTCCCGGGGCTTCTTCCAGTTACGGAATCTTAGTGGTCTCACTGGCAATGCTGGATTCTACCCTCACTTCAAGCAGAACTGACAGCTCGTTCAGTTACTGGCCATGAAGGCTTCTGGGCAGGAAAGCTGGCCATGCCAGAAGGCTGCTCCTGGTGTTCACTTGCTAGCAGGATGAGTCCCAGCCCTGAGTTCCCATGAACTTGGGGGGGCACTATCCACCCTGCACACCCACGGACCCCTTCTGGACTCATCCTTTGTGTGCCAGGCACAGCTCTAGCCCCCAGTACACTGTCTCTCTTAACCCTTCCAGCAGGTGCCACCATAGTTCGTGCCACAGAGGGAAAACCTCTTCCCTGAAAGGACGATGAGACTTGCTCCCAGTCTCAGCCCAGAGTCTGGGCTCCTGTCTGTCACTCCCATCCTCCACTACTCCACATCACCTGCCCCCTCCGGTCACATCCCTTCCCTTCTTTGCTTGCCAAGTGGTTGTGAATGCCACCTTCTCCAGGGAGCCTCCTCTATTGGGAGATCCACCCTTCCACCTGCTCCTGCTCCGCTGACTATCCTCCCAGGGAATCAAGCTGTGTGCACACCTTACCCCAGGTCCTGGGGCTCAGGACTCCTCCCTCTCCTAGGTCTTCAGGGAGTTGGAGCCTGCTGTGCTGTCCTGCCTCCAAGGCTACAGTGTCTGCATTTTCACCTACGGTCAGACAGGGACCGGGAAGACCTACAGCATGGAGGTGGGAAGTGGGTGGACTCTGGGTGGCTCATGGGTCCAGGCTTTGGTATGTGAGCCCGATGTGGCACCCCACCCCATCTCCAGGGCCCACCTGAGGACCCCGGCATAGCTCCTCGGGCACTGCAGTCACTGTTCCGGGAGATGGGGACGGGAGGGCAGCACTGCGTGACCCTCAGCATGGTGGAGATCTACAATGAGGCTGTCAGGTCAGAGCCGCAGAGCTGCTTCCTCCATGCCTCCAGTCCCAGCCCCTGCCCCTAAATACCCTGAACCAAATCCTCTCCTTTCTCACCAGAGACCTCCTGGCCCCGGGGCCTCCTGAGCGTCTGGCTGTGAGGCAGGGCCCAGGAGGCCATGGGGGGATCCAGGTGGCAGGCCTCACCTCCTGGGATGTGCCCAATCTGGAGACACTGTACCAGGTAAGGCTGCCCAGTGGTACCTGCAGCCCCCTCCAAGGCCCTGCCCAGTGTTCCTACCTGTGGCATGGCCCCTGCAGGAGGCAGCCCTCTTGCCCCTCCCTCCAGATGCTGAGCCTGGGGAGGAGCAACAGGACCACTGCCACGACAGCCATGAACCAGCACAGCTCCCGCTCTCACGCTCTGGTTACCCTGACGCTGCATGCAGCAGCCCCACCACGGGGCCCAGGCACTGCAGGTACCAGGGCCCAGACCCGGGTCCTGTGGGAGGCCTCACCACACTCAAGTCCAGGGTTTTCCTCCACATCGGGTTTGCTCACCCCTGCAGGCACGCTTCACTTGGTGGACCTGGCAGGATCTGAGCGAGCCTGGAAGGCAGGGGCGGCTGGCCCGTCGCGAGGAGAGCAGGAAGGCGCCCAGCGTCTGCGGGAAGCCCGGACCATCAACCGCTCACTGCTGGCACTAGGAGGGGTGATGGCTGCGCTGCGGGCCCGGCGGCCCCACGTGCCTTTCCGCGATTCACAGCTCACACGCCTGTTGCAGCCAGCGCTGGGCCCCGGCGCCACTGCGGTTCTTCTGCTACAGGTGGGCTCTGGCGTGGGGCTTGGGGCGTGGTGCAGAGCCCTGGGAGGCAGGCTTGCATGCCAGGCACCGCCCACTCAGGTCCTGCCCACCAGTGTTGCACCCCTGCAGATCTCCACCAGGCCCGAGGATCTTGGTGAGACCGTGTGCTCCCTCAAGTTTGCCGAGCGAGTGGGTCAAGTGGAGCTGGGCCCAGCCCGGCGCCGCACAGCCCCGCGCTCGGGGACACCCTCCTCCCTCAGCACTGACACACCACTCACAGGGACTTCCTGCACTCCCACGCCATCCCCCGGTGGACCCCCAAGTCCTGGCCCAGACAGTGGCTCCATCTTGGCCTTTGCACCCCAGGAGGACCTGCCACTGTAGCCCTGCCCAAGGAGCCTTGGGTGGCGCCTCTGCAGGCAGAGGCAGCAAAGTCCCTACAAGTCTCCACAACCCCCAGAGTTGCGCCTACCCCACCACTGGTCCTGCAAGGAGTGTTAGGTCTGGGGAAATGATTCCCCCAGCTCCCACCTTATCACCATTTGCTGTTATCAGCACACAGCAGGGGATCCCAGAGCCCAGGGAGGGAGGCAGACCCTGGTCTGGCCAAGTGGTTACCAGTCAGTCTTGCCAACAAAAATCAGACTCGGCTAGTCAAAACGTTGTCGGTTCCTTTACTATCTATCTTCCTTGCTACCACCACCAAAACCCAAGTAGGTTTCCTACTCCCTATCCCTCTTCCCCAAAACGGTGCTACCTTCTAACAGTTGAGGGAAGACAGGACTTCAGTCACCATTAGGTTCTCCCTCCCCCAGCCTGCAGTGAGGGAGGGGAGGTGACATGGTGATGGATGGCTGGCTGGCTGGCTGGACGGACAGAGGGCCAGGAAAGGTGGAACCAGAAAAGGGACAGGAAGGGCTACTCTAAGCAGAGCCCCACTCTTCCCTGCCTTGCCTCTGGGGCTGAAGAGAAGCATGACTGACCACCAGGGCCAGGGTGGTACCCAACTGGACCACAGTCTTTAATGGGGTAGTCCAATAAACTGTGGGCTCCAGCATGGCTGGTGCCTGATGTCTCAAGACTACTGTGGCCACAGACACTTCTTGGTCCTCTTGGCCTTGGTTTCCCCTCAACAAGCCAGTGGTGGCAGGAGAGGGTGGGAGAGGAAAGCAGCCCTTGCTCCGGGGTCTCACAGGCTGTACCAAGAGAACATCCAGCCTGGGGTGGAGGCAGCCAGGTCCCGGGGTCGGCTAACCCACACATCATAGATGCTCTTGTTGGGTGGCACTCCCTGGAAGAGAGCATCTAGATCCCAGGGCAGCCCTGGGGGGCCATGGGTTTCAGGGGTCACCCCCCAGTAGGCTGGGCTGTTGGCAGGTGGGCACTGGGGGCAGGAATTGGGTGGGAGTGGGGCCAAGGGCATTGCCACATTGGGAGTATAGATGGGCAAGTAGGAGGTGGGCAGCTGTCCCCAAAGTGAGGCCCTGTGATTCCCACCGGACAGACCCCCAGGGTCTGGGGTACCCTGCAGTAAGTGAAGGGGCCAGGTTCGTGGCTCAGAAGTGAGGGGCGAGGGCCTGTTAGTTCCCCCTTGGGAACTCTCCCCTTCCATTCTCATGGGTGCAGCAAGGGGATGGAGGGGCCACAGAGGCCTTTCAGAGGGCAGGGGTGGTGTGTGCACCACCTCCTCTCCGCTGTGTACTGATGGACCTGGGCTGCTCCGTGGCGCCCCCTCCCCTGGGTCCCCCAGCAGAGACTTAATGCTGAAGCCTTCGCTGAGCTGTGGCTGGGGGCTGGGAGGTCGGTAAGGCCAACCGTGCAGCACATAGGGGCCCAGGTCCTTGACGAAAGCCCCCCGCGCACCCCTGCTCTGCCAGCGTCGGCACAGGGCTGTGTTCTGCAGCCGAAGCGCCTCGGCTGGGATCAGGCTCACGTCAACCGCCCAGAAGTTGCCCTTGGCCTGGGGCTTCGCAGGATCCTTGGGCACCTGGGGGGGTGGGTAGAGGGCAGGCTTAGATTGGGCCGCCCAACCCCAGATGCTCGGGAGTTCCTTCCCGGTGCTCAGACCCTCGCCCTGCCCCACCTTTCGGAAGCACCGGTTGGAGGAGAGGTTATGACGGATAGAGTCTTTCCAGCCCTCGTAGTCGTCCCTGAAGAAGGGGAACACGGCCTGGACCTGACGGATGATCTGAAACCACGGGGCGGCCGGCCGGGGCCATGAGCAGGGGCGCGGAGGGGGCGGCGGCACCCCTCCCCCACAGCCCGGCCGAGGGGTGGCCGGCGCCGCCGTCCCCAGGACACCTCTGCGCCCAAGGCTGAAGGGGAGACCTCACGGGCAAGGGTCCCGCCTGTGCACCTCGGCTATCTCCCCGTTGCGTCCAGGCCGGGCCTGGTCCCACTGGCATAACCGCGTCGGGCAGGGTCGGGGTGGAGGCTGGGGCCTGAACCTGGGAGTAGGTGGGGATGGGTCCGGGGAAAGGTCCGACGACCGAGTGTGAGGAGCGGGGGACCCTCTCACCTGGGCCAGCTTCAGCCTGCGGGAGGGCGCGGCCTGGATGACCAGGGCAATCATGGCCAAGTAAGTGTAGGGGGGCTTGTCATGCCGCAGGTATCTCTTCTTCCTCCTCCTTGGGGGCTGGGAGGGCGACTCCGCCCTGGGAAGTCCCAGCCGTGGGTTGCTGCACGGCCCCATGCAGGGTAGACGGGCAACGTGGGCAGGGGCCTGGCCCGGTGGAGGGCGCGAGGCAGTGGGCAGTGTGGCGAGGTAGGGCCGGGGCCTGAGGCCGGGCGGGGGGAGGCTGGTCGGGCCCTTTATCATTCGAATGGAAGGGGGAGGGGAGAGAAGGCCCAGAGAGGGAGGAATACGGCGGTGGGGGAGGGGAGCGGCCGAGGGCTGCCACAATTAGCTGGATTCGGTTAATCTGGAAGGGAGGGGCCGGGAAGATTCCAGTGGGGGCTGCCGGCGGCCACCTAGGCCTCTCTCCTCCCTCCTGGGCTGCCTGTGAGCCGAAAGGAAGAGCCCCTGGAAGGGACCCATGACCCAGGGTTACTTTATCCCGTCCGTCTGGGCTAGGTCTCAGACTCCCATTTAACAGACGGGGGAGTGATTTGCTCAAGATGAGCTGCGAAGGGCCTGCCTAGAGTTCAAGGCTGAGTAACTAGTAGGACCTGGGTGGTCTGGGAAGGCTTCCTGGAGAAAACCTCAGGAACAAAAGACAGGCACAGTTGATTCAAGGGATTTTCCCAGGGGCTGCTGCAGGACTCCACTGAGCATCCCAGGCCCTGGAGGCCACTTTCCTCCCCTCCTTGGTGCCTGTCAGCAGTGGTTTCTGGGGACAACCAGCCCTTATTCATTGTGCATCTCGCTGGCAGTGGGTGAGCCGACCTGCCTGGTCCCAGAGGTCTTCCTGGAGGTAAGCTTGCTTCCCTCTCCTCTAAGGGTCCTCTGGGCCTGGATGCTCTGGGATCTGTCCCCTCAGAGGATGCCTCTTGTTCCTCTGGAACACTTGGACAGTTCCCCTGGGTGGGTATATGCTGTAGGGGTTTACTGGACACCTCTCAGGGCCAGGCCCTGAGGATACAACCCCATGGTTGATGCCTGCCCACGGGAGCCTGCAATGACCACCTGGCTTCACCCTGGGAGGGAGAGAGTGCAGGTATGTTGTGTGTGGGGGCACAGGAAAGCCTTCCCAGGCAGTCACAAGCCCCTGTGGCTTAGTCTAGAAGTAGGGAGATGCTCCCTAGGTGGGTCAGGGCTGGCCTGAGGGGAGGGAGAACACTTTAGGGGAGGGAGTAGAGGCTTAGGTTAGGGAGGCTTGAGGGATCTGCACTCCCTGTTCAGGCCTGGCAGGAGCCTCTGAGGACTTCAGGAAGCACAGGGCCTGACCCAAAGGTATGGTCCTAGAAAAATGCTGATAGCTGCCCCGAGTTTCACCAGTCCTCCTAACTCCCAGACCCCCTTCTGTCCCCTCATCTTCCCTCAGGCCACCTGATCTGTGGCTCTGCCCCTCAAAGTCAATCAAGGCCTTGCTCTGTTCCCTACCCCAGAGCCCAGGTCCCTCCCCTCTCCAAACCTGGCTGTTTTCCTCAAGGGGGTATTAGGCCCAGGGCACTAGTGGTAGTGGTTGGCGCTAGTACCAGGACCCCAGACCCAAAGGCTAGAGGGACGTACTTTGTATCACTTTACTTGGAGAATTCAACTTTTCTTTAACATTGCCCCTCTCAAAGACACACATTATATACCCTTAAAGGGTTGAAATACGCAGTGGGTGCCTAGCTCGCACAGATGCACTGAGGGAAGGGGTGGGTGATGGGTGCACTAGAGGAGAAAGCCTGGGGCTTAGATGGATGATGTAGTGGACACCTTAGATGGATGATGTAGTGGACACTACGTTGTTACCCCCGCCGTCCCAGACTCTCTTCAGACTTCTCCTGGACTCCTCATATGCTACCTCAACTCCTTTCTGTTCCCAGGGCTCTAGGGGAGGGGGACCTTGTGTCTCATCAGGCTATTACTGCCTGTGGCCTCCTAGCCCCACTAGGTCAGCAAAGAGATCATTCCTGTGTCTTTTTAAGTCACCATCTCTTCTCCATTGATCCCCTACCTTGCTTCCAGGATAAAGCCCAGCTTCTTGGTTTGGCATTCAAAGTTCCTTGTGTGCTGACTACTCATCTCTAACCACACTTTCCCTCAGGCCCAACTAACACTACCTCAGCTGCTTCCAATTGCCCAATTCACCAAGTCCTTCCACTTTGGGCCTGCTGTTCTCTACTCCCATGATGCCTCTGCTTCGTCGGGTGAACTCAGACCCCTCCTTAAAGCGCCAACATAGGCCAAGCCCCCAGGATCCATTTGAGTACTTGCCCTTACTGCACCACCCGCGCTGAGGATGCAACGGAGCGGTTCGCAAGGGACAGTCCTCAGCGGTCCACTAGTCACTCAGGGTCCACTACCCCGGCTCCGGGAGTTTGGCCCCGCCCCCGAGCGGTTCGGCCCCGCCCCGAGCAGCTAGGCCCCGCCCCCGGCTCCCACGGGGCGCCGCGGCTTCCGGCTCTGGCTTGCGAGGGCCGGAAGTGTAGCGTTGCCATGGCGAGGACCGAGCGATGGGTCCGCCCCCGCGACGCCGGGAGGAGCGCCGGGCAGAGTGACCTGCAGACTGGATCTGATCGGCTGCGCGGCGGCAGCCTGCGCGAGGCGGAAGGTGAGGTGCGAGCTTCGCGGCCTGTGGCTGTAAAGGAGGCCAGGCCGGGCCGGGGGTTGTGGAGGGAGGAGGCCGGGGTTGGGGGGCAGAGAAGGCCGGCCAGGGGCTGTGGGGGAAGAGATCGGGCCCGGGTTTGGGGGCGAGGAGGCTGAGCTCGTGGGAGGGGGAGGGGAAGCCGGGCCGGAGGAGGTGGGTGAAGAGGCAAAGTAGAGCGGAGAGAAAAAAAAGGAAGATAAAGCGGGCTGAGAGGGAGACGAGAGAGGAGGCCTTAGAGTCTTAAGGAAATGTATCTGGCCGGCACACAGAGAGGCTGCACTAGGGCAGAATTTTGTCCAGGCCCCTCTTGGGCGCTGGTGGGTGAGGCCCAGGGCAGTGGGTCCTCAGGATCAGGAAGAGTTTCTAGAAGTGGCAGCTTGCGAAGGTCACCATCGAGGCCTTTCACATTTTACCCATACGTGCAGTTTCCTTTCTTGCGACTTGCTGCTCAGGTAGGCAGCACTAGAACTGTGTCCATTTTCAGCCAAGGCAGTTCAGGCCCACAGAGAAGTGAACTGCCCCAGCTTTATGTGGCTTTGGAGTTAGGCCAGAGGAGAAACTGTAGCCGCTCTGGGGCAAGTTCCTTAAGCTTTCAGGGGTTCAAGTGACCTCCCTTGTAGCGTGGGGATCCTGGGCCCCACCGCACGCTGGCACTAGGGGAAGAGATGTTAGCTAGTGTGTTCGAAGTGTTGGCCCTGTGCTGGTGCAGGAGGCTCTCCAGGCCTGGGAAGGGTGTCCATGACTGGTTTGAGCCCCTTGCTGTCATGGAGCAGAAGCTGAGGCTACTGTGGGATTGATTCCCATGGGTGTAAAGAGGAATGTCTGTATGGAGTCATTCCAGGTTAGGGAAGCAAGAGAAAGGCTAACCCTCCCAAAGCTCTAGGCCTTCCTTTTCTTCCTGGATCCCTAACATTGGGGTGGAGGTGGGGGCACAACACTGCTCTTCTCAGTCCCTGTCTTGGCATAGCAGTGAGCCCTTCTGGGCATCTTTGCATCCCAGGTGCATCCATGGCGGGATCGAGGTGTCCTGGGGTGTGAAGGGGCCTCGGTGCCCCTGGTCACGTCACCTAGTTCACCTCAGGGGCACCAAGGGGAGCCCCAGCATGGGGCGCTGGCTGCCTGAAGGAGCCTGCATGAAGGCATCGCCTTGTGATGGATGTGTGGCACTCGGCTGCCAGTTGCTTGCCCCTGTCCCCAAGCTCTTGCTCAGAACTGGGATGGGGAGCTGCAGCAGGTTCTCCTTCCCTCCTGATGCCCAGATGGATTTCCTCTGTTGGATGAGTGAGCCTCTCTCCTGGTTCTCCACTGGCCTATCCTGGCCTCATCCCTCACCTGCCTGGGGTGTGCCTGGACTCTGCTTTCCCCAGGAAGTTGCCAGGGCTGGCAGGCACCCAGAAAGGGGGCTTCTGTATTTGTGGGCTCAACGTTGGGGTCTGTGTTCCAGAGATTCTGAATCTCTGGTCATCCCCAATACCCTGTCTCCACTGTGTAGTCTCAGGTGGCCCTGCAGTGCTCCAGCACACCATCTCTGCCCCAATAGCACCCTGTCCCAGCACCACTGCTTCAGTCCACCTGTCAGCCATAGCAAGACATATGAGTGGCAGTCCCAGGCTCCTCTGTCACCTCCAGGCTCTCTCAAAACTTCTTCCTAAACACCCCTGATCCTAGCACTTTGCGTCCATCTCTTCCATCACATAGCTTGCCTCTGTGGCTCCTCACTCCCCTTGGGGTTACAGAGTCGCTCCTGGCTGCTTCTTGGCTGTGTCTCAGTCTTCTTCCTTCTCAGCTTACCTAGAAGTGATTGATCTGAAGCACAACTTCATCCTTGTACTCTCCTTGAAATCCTTCCTCACAGAATCCAGAACATCACTTGCCTGCCTGTCTTCACAGACTAGTCCCCACCCTCTGCCTCCTGACCACTTTTCCACTCATGTCATCTTGCCACCAGACAACCCCTGGCCTGGGTGGTGATGGAGGGGGAGGGTGAACCTCTGCCCACCCTTCCAAGCTCTGTGGCCTCAGGCCAAGCCTCGCCAGCACAGCAGGCCGAGAAGGAGGAGGCAAGTCAAGCTCCCCAGACGCCCAGCGAGAGGGTCTCCTGGTGGAGGAATGCGGCTTCTGGTCTCTCTGTGAGGGCCGGTGTGGTCTGATGATGGATGTCAGATTCTGGGCTCTGTCCTTTGGCGGCTGTGACACGTAAAGATTTGGACAAACTGCTGCTGGCAGACAAGCACAGGGGATGTGGGGCCATGGAGAACAGGGCCTGCAGACGAGTCTTCAAAGTAGTTTCTGTGTGAAGGAGAGGGGTGTGTGTGGAAGGTGGAGAGATTGGAGTCGGTGTGAACGGTGAGGTCAGTGGAGATCCAGAGGCTGTGGACTCAGGCAGAGAACTGACTGACAGCTTCTGGGCCCCTTGTAGAGAAGGGCCTGTCGTGCCATCTACAGATGAGGAAGCAGAGGTAAAAGGTGACCGGTCCCTTCTGCTCAGTGCACTTTGCACCCAGAGTTGGTCCCCAAGCCCAGCTCCCAGCCACTGTGGGACCTGCTGCGGGAGGCTCCTGAGGTGCAGGAAGCAGGCCAGTGCCCAGCTGGAAGAGGTGGGCAGATGTTT